CAGCAGGAGGCTAACGTTTTTTTCGGTGGGCGCCCTTTTCTTCAGAGGTTTTTTTCCCTTATAAGTAGATTATTAATGAAATAATTGTAGCATTTAAAAAGAACCCACTTTTCGTAATTTTCTCACAAATTTAGCCAATTTTGGGGGTAATGTGAAGAAAAGTTTTGGGCGAGCCAAAACCTGCAGCGCCGCGGCGACCCCCCCCCCCACTAGCGCTCCCTCGATAGTAGGCAACCTCGAGCTTTTGTCCCCCAATTTTTTGATAGATAGTTGCCGGGCCTGATCTCTACTCAATGGGGTGCTCATTTATGGTAGGTCCGCCATTACTGCACCTAATTGTAGAGCACTCTATAGCGAGTTTTGCAAACTAATAAAAAAATAGAAAGTCTGCCTTTCAAAAGCCCTGCCATCTGAAGATAGCTCTGAGCAGGCCCTGGCTCTGAGCGAAAACTCGGAACTGACCTGCCCCCAACGGCTCCGAATTTTGAATTCGTTGTGTGCAGTTTTGAACATTCCAGATTTTGAAGGAAAATGCCACATTTTTGTCGTTGTTCGCTTCACAATTGCAATATAAATGGAATGGTAGGCACGGGTAATACAAGACTTACAAAGTAAGTGAGCTTATTATTTTGCACGTTTGTTAAGAATGGTTTCATATGATTACGATAATTATTTGCATTGCATTAATTACTTAACATTGTTCCCCTCAGTTTTTGTATAGGCCTATTACTTTTGTTTGCAGTAACATTAAATTGGATATTTGCTATACTTGACAAATTTTATTATAGGTTTATGAAATGGCTGATGGGAATTAGGATCTGATACTGGAGTCTTGCCCACGAAGGACATGAACAGGAGCATAGAGCACATCTTACCAGAAATGTTGACTGCAAAAACAGCTGTGTGGAATGCAGTCCCCAGTAAAATTTCCTGACAATGCCCTGAGGTGCCTAATGGAGCACCCAAAGCATTTAGATAAAACTTGCCAGCAAGTGTAAGTGACATACTTTGAGCATTTATGATATGTACTAATAAGAAAGCTTTAAAATTTTTTCAACTCACTCAGCAGGTCTGCCTTACATGTTGAAGCTACTATTCATTCCGGCTTCCTTGCATGGAAAGGAAAAATGTAACTCAACACACTGTTCAGCTAATTATTGGTTATAACAGAAACATAACGACAGACAACTGGTTTACAAGCAGTCGTTTGGCCAATGAACGTTTGGAGAAAAAAAACTTACTTTTGTCGGTACAAAAAAATAAACCTCTGGTATTTCTTCAAAAAACCAGTGCATTCCAGCACGTTTGGTTTTGATGACAACAATAATACCATAGTAAGTTATTGCCTTAAAAAGGGGAGAGGTGTATTACTTTATTCAACAAAGCATGCAGGTCCTGAAATTGATGAAGTAATGAGAGAGAAAAAGAAACCAACAATTCCACCTAGGGAGAAGTCGACACTGATGTCCAAGTATCATCATTGTATTCTGTATCAAGAAAAATTTGTTAGTTGCTAGTAATCTTTTTGCTTCTCAACACTCGAATAAATGCCCATATTATTGTTGCCAAAAATAAAAGAAGTAAAGAAAAAAATTGCAAGGAGAAAAATCCTCCAAGAACTTGTAATGAGTCTTGTAAGAGTTCACATGGAAATGCGGACAAAATCATTGAATCTACAGTGAGTCCTGAGGTCATCAAAAAAAAATCTGCCTGAAGTGGAAGAGGATACAAAACCACGAACGAAAAACGCCTGTGGGCTGTAGGAAGTGTGCCCCTGTTCATCAGGCCACAAAACTCCATTTCTTTTGCAACCTGGAATCAATGATTGTGCAAAGAACATATGGAAAGTATTGTGTGAATAATGTATGTAATTTTTACAAAATAAATATTTTTAATTTCTAATTTAAGTATAACTATGTACCACAATTTATTCTGTAATGATAAAAAAGTGATAATAAACATTTCTCAGTAAACATTACATACTCTGCCTTTGTCTACTAAGATGTACTGGGGTTACACTGACTTCATGTGAGCATTAAGAAACACTATTCCACGCCAGCATTCCAGGGTTAATAAAACCTGATCATAAAAAACAGAACTTCAAGTAAGATCATGTTGAAGTTTTTGAAAATAAAGAGTATTTTTATTGTAACGTCCCACAAAGTCACCAGCTCCAAATTTACAATGCTTTGTGAACATGAGTTGAGAAGTGTTTCAAAGCTATTGCTATTCACATAGTACATTGATGGAAGGTAATAAATATATCTTAGAAATAAATTAATTTTTTACTTCAAGAAATTTTGATCACTGGTTATGGCATGTTTCATTTCTGGTAGAAATGCCTACTAGTCATCGCAGTAAACACACGCACTTTGAATTGGTTGAGTTTGGTTTATATTAGTGTCATTTAATACTTTACATGGAAGAAAAATTGTGTACCATTTATTTTTATGAACATATGAATATTATATTACTACATACGCTGCCTTGGGTAACAATGCATGATTATATATTTCAGAAGTTCATTGTTTAACAATATAAGTTAATGAAATGTGAAATTCTGTCGAATTCTTTTCTTTGATGAACATTGGCATGCAACCATTATGAGGCTTTGTTATATTTTATATATATATTTTTTTTATTTTACATCAAAGACAGAAAAACTGAGTGTGATGCATTATGGGGAGAAATGTATTCTGTGAATGTTTTCGTAAACTCTTGCATCCCAACCCTAACCAGTTTACATTTTGAATTCTGAATGCAGTTGCATTAGTTGGAGGAAATTTTCTTGGAGTGAAATCTTTCAGATCATTTAATATAGCATGTTCAGACAAGGAATAACGTGTTAATATGAGCATCTTTGGAGAATTTTACAATATTTTTAATAGTTACTATTACATCTTTTTTGAACGATTTCCATTTGTTTGCCAAAGCTATCAGTATTGTATTATTCATAACTTTTAATAATATCACTATCTCACGTACTGCTTACACAAAATAAGGCAAAAAACTCTTCAGTTATGTTTGTGAATACACTGCACACCTCAAACAAATTCAATGCCGCAAAGATGCTTTCATTTAAAGGTTAGAATGAAAAATCTATTTTTTGAAACTATTTAATTTTTGCACCAAATGTTCTACAATTTCAAACAAGTTTTACAAATAAATATGACATGTGTTAATTTGGAGAGAAATTGTGTAAATAGAATTGCAAAACTAACTAAAAGCAAGAAGTACATGCTGTTTTACCACTACTAGGGCCGGTTTCACCAACAGGAATCAAGATGATGATCCCGAGTTGATCCGGATCAACTTCGGTTGATCCCGTTGTAGTTTCTCCACGCACTTTAACCGGAAATCAACATGTCTGAATCGGATCAAATTTTGACTCGGCAATTGATCCCGTCGCCGAGCTGTGGTGATCACGGCCAGATCAGGAGTTATTTTCGTCCTTGGTCGCTAGCTATTCCAGTTTTTCCGTGTTTTTTAAGTAAACACCTGTAGTTGGACTTAGATTTCGGTTATGGAAGTAATTCCGTTAAGAGTAGGATTAACGCGTAATATTTGTTGAGGAAGCAACACGTGTTTTTTAAGATAGTATGTGTAAATAAAAAGTAGGGTTAACACAATTGAAGGTTAGAATTCTCGGTATTGGGAAGTAAAATTTAAATATATTTGGCTCAGATTAGTGTAATTATGAAGGTAGCATTAGTAAAAAAGCATTTTGTGGTATCTGGCATTCCAATTGACGTGGGGACAGTTTTATTGGAATACTTTTTTTTAGTGGTAGTATACTTTTCAATTTTTGTTCTTGTTAGGGGTAATTTGTGTCGTGAAAAATAGAGTATGTTTTCGAATTGTGACAATAATCTTATATTAAGAAGTCATTGAGATTTATTGGCGGGAGAAAACCACGAGTAATTCCCCAAAGAAGCGATTATTTTTGAAGATGTGAGAAGAGCATTAAACTTTCTTTGTATTTACTCATTAAGCTTCGAGTAATTCTCATTGAACTGGAGAGAAATTGGGCCGTAGTCTATGCTTATTTCTCAACGTCAGGTGAATCATCACCGAACAAGAACACCACATCAGACGGACGAAATGAAATCAAAAACAACTCGTTTTTCTACAGCTGACGCGAGAAAATACCCACAATGCATTGCAAATTGTTGCCAACCGCGCATTTTCACAAGACTGCTCATCGAATCATGGGATCCGGATTAACTTCGATGTCCCAAAATGTTGGTGAAACGCACAGGGGATCAGGACAGGTAATAATACTCTCTGGATGGAAATCACGAAACTCGGATCAACTACGAATTTGATCCTGGTTGGTGAAACCGGCCCCTAGTTACTCATAATACATTTGGCGTGAAGGGTGAAGATGAATGAAATGGGATGACACTGCAAAACGTTTATGTGAATGCTGATCACTAAGACCAGGCAATGCAATGTTTGACACCATAGCTCATTTATTACAATGTGTCTGGATCAGAGGTTCCAGACTCTGACTCAAATATTTACACATTATGACAATCCATTTGTAGGATTTCTTTTCATGGTTTTTACGGGTTAATTGTAACACACAGACAAATCAAAAGACATCAAAATATGTGAGATATATTGAAGTGTTTAATTTTCCATTAAATAAAGAACATGAGTAACATTTAGAAACTATTTAAAAAACTTGTGGAACATAGTGGAATTTGCTAGTGTTTATTGCAATACAAAATTTGATATTTACAATGAAGTAATAATTCAAATTAGCTTAAGTTCCAGGGTGTTCTACAATTCAAATTTTTACTAATTGGCTAAAACTGAACTTCCTTAAAAGCAATGGCCGATTCTGTTCATTGCTTTCAAACACGAAATCACCGAATGAATACTGTGGGATTCAAATAGAAAACATGTAAGTAAATTAAGAAAGTAATAACTTTTATTCAAGCTCTTTGGTCTCAAATTCACAATTTACTTTTTGCAAAATATAATACAAATTGTCCATTAAAGTCATTCATAAAATGACAGCATTTTAGCTCACACAAAACTACTTTTTATACAAAAATAATTTCCCAAAGTATTATCACATTCTTAAGGCATGTACCTTCAGTTCTCTCATTTTAAACTTAAGAATGTCAACTTCTTCCATTCTTGAGCGAGTCATGGTATAGTTGTGAAAATTAATACAAAAGGATGAAAAATGTTGCTATGCTACTTTCAATCACAACATTTCTGGCTGACTAACATGATCTTTCTTCTTCCTCACAAATTCAAAATGTCTTGGAGAGATCATAATTAGTGAAGGAACAAAGAAATTAGCCCACACTATTGAAGTTGCTTGTCCATCTGAAAGCTGAAAAGTCTTTGGCATAAGTACTTAAGAGTTGTGGTGTGGAGAGAAGACCTTGCAGATCACACTGATTCGCAAAAAAACCTTCACCCACCTGCAAAACGGAAAAATATATTCCAGTTAGAAGAAAAATCACCATCAAAATACTGCTGATTTAAAAGAATTAAGTACTAAGGCATTTTCTGTGCTTACTTATATTATTGCATTGTATGGTTCCTGAATTTTGTGAACGAGCTTTAAACATGACCATTAAACACAAATGGGAACAATAAACGAAAAATCACTGATCATTTGAGTAGTGTGGGGAAAATAAAAACCAGGTGGATGATTTCATTTCCAAGTTAATGCAGGGGGAAAAGGTGGGTTCAGGCTTGAAAACAAAAATATTAATAACCTCTAATTGCTAATAAAAAAAATAAATAAATGAAAAAAGTATCCAAACCTGGTGCACTGCACTTGGAAAGTGGCATATGCAATAATTTATTATTTATTGTTTATTTACATTGTTTATTAGGCATTATTTTATAATAATTTTTTATAGTTGTGTGTTTATAAATTCATTTGTTTATTTTAACTTCATTTATATGTTTGTTTGTTTAGCATAAATGAATTATTAACTTTCTCATTTAAATTTTAGATTCGAATACATTATATTCATGGGAGAGCTAATGTATGGAAATTTTAACTTGTCAAAGAAAATGCCCTAGAAAAAAACCACCACAAATTCTGAATGCATTTTACTTTTATTGTCACTAAAGAGTATCATGAGAAAGGGATAAGATCACAGTTGTTTAATTTTATTTGTTGCTCATATATACAAACATTTGTTATGGAGAGAGCGAGGGAAAAAAAAACAAAATTCCAAGGATGTTCGTGTTTTTCTCTCAGAAGTATCAGTATACCATGATTCTTAATTTGTTTGTTTTTTCACTTTCTCTTACAGGTCACTAATGAGTTAGTATCCTTAGATGCATTTGAAATTTAAATTAGTACTTTAACTCACGACAAAACTACATTTCTGATCCTTACCTTCACAAGTCTGTAACTAATATAACTTTCTGTTCATGTGATATTGTGATGCGACTTCCTGTTTCTTCATTGGAGCTCTAAACGTTTATTAAGATATATTTTGTGATTTTTTGCTTCTGTGCAAAAACATAAAACAGTACAAATCGTTTGTGAGTGCTACAATTCATCAAGGGATTCTTGCATATAAATTAAACATACTACAAACTTTTAGATATTCTTAAAATTATGTGAAGACTAAGCATGGAAATCTGCTACAAGGTAAAGCAAAAGTATGAGAAACAAGAACCCCATGTACACTTATTTTACATTGAAGATTACCATAGAGTGTACAGTTTCACAGGTCACCAATATTGGAACCGATTGTTTGAAAAACATTTCTTGTCTGATCAGCACAGGATCTAAAACTATTCAGTTATTTTTCCTTCCAAAAATGGTGCTGCCAATCTCACAACTTTATACCCCTAAAATCTGAAGAACACTAAACATGTTCTGCATTTTCAAAGTTTCAATTTGTTTCAGAACCAAATCCTTTTTCTCTTTTCTCTTCTTGACATTTTGGTCATAAGTGTGTGGTGTGTGTGTGTGTGTGTTTTGATGTGGCAAGCCATTTCTGCCTTTTATCCAGTATGATTAGTTTGCTTTCATTTCCCAGCTTTGTTTTGTTTTCCAGAAATTGGTCATCCTGAAATAATAACAATAAATAATACGAAGAAGAAGGAGAACAAATTAGAACACAAATTAACCCTAAAATTTCAGTCTTTATGATCATTAAATACTTTTTACGAATTAGTTTAAGTAAACAATAAATTAAATCATCGTACCCCAAGATCATCTCAATTTTTATTTCATTATACTATGTTATGTACTTGTTCATAATTCAGTCACCAATTGAAAAATAAGAGAAATAAATGTGATTAGGTAAATGATAAAATGAAACACACTAAATAAAAACATTTACGGAAAAAAAATTGATACTAGTTATTCCTACTTCAAGAATTTCTTTCTTCCCCTTCCTTTCTTTCAAAGAAAGTCTTGATACACTTATTTGGTTGGTTTGTCATTTTGTAATAATTTACTACTACAGGTGTGTTTCTGTTACGAAATCAACTAAGATCTTATAGTGTACAACTCCATAATGTTAGAAGCAAAATGTATTATTAGAAAACTAAGAAAATTTTAAACAAAGGAATGAAATTATAATTTCAATGAATATTTATTTGCATTCTAACTTTTATTTCACATTGTTTCTTCTGTAACTAGTGAAAAATTAATGTGAAAAAGGCTTATGATTAGAGGGTGGATTTTAATGATTTTTTTTTCCCCACATTAGCAAGATGATGTTTAGTGTAGGCATTATTTTTGTTATGTCAGAAGGAAATTACCCATTTTCATAATTTCCCAAAAATCTTTCAGTAAGTCAAGGAAATAAGAGAAATCAACTGCATCAAACACTGCATTTTTCTTGTATTATAATTATTGGCAAGTTTTTAATATTATGTATTTAATTTAATAATACTTCATGAATTGTTAACATTTTCATTATGCAATGTACAAACTTACAAATGTAACCCTCAAAACCATACGCGTGTGTGCGTGTGTGTGTGCGTGTGCGTGTGCGTGTGCGCGCGCGCGCGTGTGTGTGTGTGTTTGTGTGTGTTTTCTCAAGGGCAGAGAAGAGACGGGCATAACAAAAAAGGGCATTCTTAGTTGTGAATGTTTGCACTACATGGTAAGTGCCTTGTTGCATATCGAATCAAAAAGAAAAATCACCTAGTGATCCAGGGAATTTAATCACGGACATTGATTGTTATCTACACGAATTATCCTCCACACCAATTAGTTTTTTTCATTTGTTTCCATTATGCACATTTCGAAAGACTATTTAATATAATTGCTGATAAATTTCTTTTCAATTTTTGCAGCATTATTGCAAGACACATGCGCTTCACTTTTAATTTATTATTTTTTTTATTTTCTTCTGTATTCATTCACCTTTCTATTGTGTCAGATTTTTTTCGTATATTAGAATAATTTAAATCCTTAAATCATAATCAAGTTACCTGTGTGTCACATTTAAGACCCATTTTAATCCACCAATGAAGTGTCAATGTGTCCTGGTTAGTAATTGATCATTTTTCCCAATTTACACAGAATATTTTAAGGAATTTGTATAAAAAATTAGTTTTTTCTTAAGTGAATACAATTTATTTTGGTTGACTTATGGCACCTTCAAATGTGATCAACAGTTTATTTGATTTCACTCAACAAGAAAATAGATTAGCTCAAATTCTTAGCCTCTTTCCTCAAGGATTTCTTGAAGAGTGTTAGAAAAACATTTTTGATGCTGCACCTCACTGTTTTTTGTTTGTTTTTTTTAATTACAACACTCATCCCAGCATTTTTATTAATCTTTAAAACTTGATTCATCAGATGAACAATTTCATAATTAAAAAAAAATATTTAATCAGCATTTTAATATATTTTTTCATGTAACAAAGACTCGTTATGGATTAACTGGGCAACTGTAATAAGTTTAAAATTTATTTTTATCACGAACTTGCAAACCAAAAACTTTTAAAAAAGAAAATACCTACTGGAAGCATCACCCTCAAGTAAGTAAATAGGTGCTATTGTTTTTAATTACATAAGAACACAAAATCCTAATATGAATAATTTATAAGAATAGTTTCATTATCATAAACCCTTTCTTTTGATACTCCTCATTGCAACAGATAGAAGAAAATGTTGCTCCATGCCAAAATACAAAAAAAGAAGGATCAGTAAAATGTACAATCAGAAAACAGCTAGAATGACTTGAAAGACTACAGTAAGGTCCATGCAAATTTTTTAATTGAATCTACAGAGTTGAAAACAAACGCCTCTTAATATTGTGGAGGGGGAAAAGAAAAACTCATGCAAACCGATAAAAGTTTATGGAAATGCTCTTTCTCATGTTTTGAACTACAATAGTGTTTATACAATTTTACATGAAAAACAAGCTAAAAACCAATTTCAGAACAGAAACATGTACTATAAATAAACAAAACTGAAATCAATAAAAATTTACTTTGTATTTAGAATTTTATTCAAACAAAATAATTGGAAATTGAGTAACTAACATTTTTTGCTAACTATAAATTCCTAAATTAAATATTTAGACAGAACATTTTAGAGAGATGAGGGAAGATGTTATTTACTGGATCACTACATTATTTTACTTACAATAAACTTTAAGTTTGAAATTCTGTTTAAGCATTCCTTACAGCATTTTAAATTTATGTTGCCGTGAGTGGCATTGTAAGAATTTATAATTAGCATTTTCTGCATTACTCTTCTAGGAACCAATAACTACCATGTTGCGTCAAATTTAATAATGAATTAAAGATCATTTACCTTCGTTCCCAAAATGACTCCAGGAATGATGCTGCAGGATTATTGACATGGGAAATAATTGGTTTAAAATATCAGAGTTTTTATATTGTGTGTTTAGACTAATAAGAAAACTAAATGGTCAATACTTGCATACTGAAAAACACATTTAAGTATTTTATTTAAGATTTATTACTAAATTTAACAAGAATTTTCAGTGAGTAAAGACATTATTAAAATTATCGCAATTATTTCACAAGAATTTTCAGAAAAAATCTAGTTACAATGATTTTTGAACAAAGTTTTTTGCAACACTGTTTTAAGTCATTTAGTATTTATTTTTATTTGTCAAACTCCGACATTTCTAATAGCAATGATTTTGAATAGAATAATTATTTAAAAAATTGTTGCCTTATTACATCAAATGTACACTAATTTGTCAAGTATCTAATAAACCTTTAAGAAGACATGCTACTGAAATTTTCACATATTACATTTAACACCAATTAGAGAAATTATTATCAAAAAAGGATGCAATTGTTGAACACTAAAATAATAATTATGTATACAATACATGAAGATTATTTTATGAATATTAATCTTTTAACAAAAAATTTAAAATGCAAGAGAATTGTTATTTGTCATTCTTATACTTTTTTAATGTGATTAAATCTTAAAGTACAAAACATCAATTATCAAAGGATTATGAGAATTAGAAACAATAGGAATGTATAATGAAAAATAATTTTTAAATTTCCATAGCCTTGATTTTTGATTTTCACAAAGGTAGAAGAATGTAGAAATCAACTTTTATTTTTAAATAAACTTAAAAATCCAGAATATTTTATCACATATGATATTATGTATTTGTCGGCCAAATCACTGATGATACGGTATAGGAAAGGCAGTGCTTCTCAGAATATTTTTTTCTTATAAACACTGTGTTAAGAAAGAAATATTGAAACAGAAATAGCAGGTGATAATTTTTCTTGAACAAAAAAATAATTTTACAACAAAACAAGCTCATATGCAAGAATATCAACTATATTAAATGTACAGAAAGCAGAACATTTCAAAAGGCTTTTACTGATTTGCTGCAAATGCTTGCAGCAGAAAAGCATGGCTCTAGGAGGAAGGCTTTACCATTTTCAGGTTAAACTTATTTATTTACAGGATTAAATCTTAACACCATCCATCTTGGCTTAAATTTGGTATGAGTGCTTCTAAAGTTGTACAGAAAGGCATTTTTACAGAACAATTATCGTAACAAAAGAAATCTTAGGAATGGAATCAGTATTCCTACAACCATGATTTATCAATTTCAAATAAATTGTCTTGAAGATTGAATTAACATTTCTTTTGCGACATCAACACACAATTCCATTTCATTAGGATATCACACTAAACATCTAGTTCCTAATTATTTGTTTCCAAGGTATATCCATTAGATCTTCCACGTATCCTTAAAATTTTTTCCTGTTTAATACCTAATTTGTTTTAAGAATTGCATCCTAGAGTTTGTATATACTTACTCTCGAATTAAGTATATAGCTGACTTGCATAAGAATCAATAATCTGCTTAATTAGTATTTGAACTGACAATAAATACTACAAGAATAGGCCTTGATGGAACATTTCAGTGAAATTTCTGCATTATCTTTGTTTTCTAGATCCTACTCATTCCCCCCCCCCATGCTTTTAAAATGATTTGAGAAACGAAGATTTTTTTTTAAAGATGTCTATATATGAATGACAATTTGGAGCCTTGCAGCAATACTTTGATTCCTTAACATTCCGATACTTTTTAACAATAACAGAATTGCAATTTATTTCCTGTGAAATGTAGTTTCTGTACATGTGAAAAAGTTTTACTGATCCTCTTAATTGGTGTCAAAGAAACATCTTATTTTTTTAACATCCTAGTTTGAGAAGCACCGTCTGGATTGTGTCATCCTACTTGGTCCACATTCTCATCCTCAGACAAATGTAAGTCAAGGAAAATACAGTGTAATTTCTCTCAATTTATCTTCTTTGTTTCATTATCAGTCCTTGATGTTGCACGATACCTACACATCTACAAATGATTACTACTAGAGGTGCAATATATACTGGATATCTGATGAAGGCCTAATACGTCTACAGCAAAATCACATTTTTAAAGTCGATCGTGAGATGAAAATACACTACACAGGTCAATGCTGTGGTCAAAAACTTGGTAAAAACTTTGCCGCAGGGAGAAAAGCATTTGTTGAAATCACTTCTTGCACTAGAACCAATGTAGGTTAAACATTATGAATGCAGCATACATAAAGGTCCTTCACAATAATACTTAATTTTCATAATATTAATACAATTTTTTTTACCGTCATATCAATGATTCCCAAGAAGAGTGAACACCTAAACACTAAATGTAATTTTCCAACAAAATATCAAGATTATTTTGCAACTGCTCAGGTATTGAGGAACAAATAAGCTGTCTTAGCATCAGACATCAGTGAACTTTTTTTGAGAACATAATATAAGTACTGTAACTTGCTTCCCCATTCTTATCTGAACCAAAATAAAATTAATATAACTGGGGAACCTCAATAGATGCACAACCAGATATCCAGTATGTTCAGACAAGCCTTCAAGGGCTGAAGGGAACATGCAAGCCCCTCTAGAACAAAGAACCTAATTGCCCGAGGCAATTGTTGAAACTGAAATGAAGTAACATTACTTTTGTTCTTAGGATAATTTGAAGTACATACTGAAACGTGATGCTAAAAAAATTTATATATAAATTTTCTGACTTTGGTTAATTATTATTCACGATAATAAAAAAAAACTTAGTAAGTGGTTAAACAAAACATTTTCAGCATGTCTACTTAACATAATTAGGCTGTTCTGAATAATCCTTCTCAACCGGCACACCTCATTCTGGCTATAAATCGCTACAGAAGGTAGGTCATTTAACCCATTGACCTACATCAACACACTATCTCCAATCTATTTCTGTTAATACATTCACAAGACTATTGTAAAACTACAAAAGAACAAAATTCAAGGAATTTTAATTGAAACAAAAAATCTAATAGCATTGAATCCCTTTTTCTTCCAGCGCATATCGAAGACATTATTGTTGCTAGGAAATCCTAAATGAACTCTAATGAATATCAGAAGTTTGACTTTGGAAATTATAGTAATTATTGCCTTTCTGGAAGCAGATACATCGGTTTTGTCCAATCATTGTGCGGTGTCTGGTCTGCACTCTTTGTTCCAGTGGGGCCGCTCTGCAGGGACGGCTCCGGTCTGCAGCAAGGGATACAAAGGTAGGGGACGTGAGGACGGGGAAGAGGATGTGTATGTATAGGTGAGGGAGAGGGAGGGGAGGGGGTGAGAGGGAGGGGTCAGAAGAAGAAATGACCAAACTGAGATTGAACTCTAAGCACTGAAAGGTCTCGCTACACATTTAGACGGCATGAAACACTCCATAAAGTCGCGAGGGGCAACGTTTCGTCAGGCGCTACTCTGCCCTGCTCGTTGCCTCGTCCATTATCATCTTCACTTGGGATGGGCCAACGGGTGGCGCGGGGGCTCTGGAGGGGGCGCGAATTCGGGGGCGGCGGGTGTGCAGGGCCAAAGGCATCCGTCGCAGAGGGAAGGGAGGGGGTGTGGGGAAGGGGCGCATGCGGCGGGGGGGCGTAGGCGACGGGGAGGGCTCGGTCTATGGAGAGGAGAGAGAAAGCGGTTACTTGGAAGGGGGCGTGTAGGGGCGGCGCGAAGCGGGAGCGACTCCGCAGCCACGCTCGCTGCAGACTTGAAGCCTTCAGGGTGCCCGCGTCGTCTGGCACAAAAGCCTCACGTCACTACCAGTTTCCCAATGCATTTCTCACCAACACCAGGGATTCACTTGGCAGTGCTTTCAGCTATCCAAATTTGCTGCAATTATTATTATTATTATTATTATTATTATTATTATATTATTATTATTATTATTATTATTATTATTATTCATTGTTATTATTATTATATTGTTATTATTATATGTTATATTATGTTTTATTATTAGTGAACTACATTTATTTGTATAATTTTATAGTTTATTGGGTACCGATTGTTTTCTCTCAGCACATAGAATTTGCTTTTCTTTAACATTAAATTAGATTAAAGTTTAATATATTTTAATTTTAAAAAATTGAATTATATATTTCCTGATACTATTTACAACTATAATTCAAAATACCTAATATTTGGCATGTGTAGTATTAGTAAAAATTTATAGTAATCCAACTTGTTTAATGTAATGTTTAAATTATTATTTTCTTTTAAATTTTACATTACTATTAAATATAATGTAATAAATCCATAAATTAAAACTCTCATTTAAGGAATTGTGATTAGGTGCACAATATCTATTTGTTTATGGTGAACAATAAGACATTGTGAAAAAAAAATTCAAAACATAATTTACAATAAAGATTCATAGACGAATAGCACATAATACTCTATTTAACTAATTAAATTATAGATATTTATAAGTGGAAGAATAATTATGGAGAACATTGTTAGAAACGGAATAACAGGAAAACAATATTAAGTCTAAAATGCTAAATTTGCTTTGCTCACATTGTAAAGAATAAAATTCTGATTGATTGATTGATTTTTTATTTTTTAAATAGTTCAAACCGAATTATGGCAGTAGTAAGTAGAAAAATGTAAATTAAAAATAAATCATCTCTACACTGCAAAGGTATTCATCCCATAAGTTAAGCCAGTTGTAATATTTTTTTTTCATTGAAGATTACAATAGAATAAGATTATTAACTGTAAATTAATGTGAACTTTTATTTCTTTAACATAAATGATACGCACTAGAGGAAGACCAACAATTTCTACGATACATGATTTGAACATCTTTGAGATCATTTTTCCATGATGAGATCATTTACTTTTTGAAATAAATTTCCCCAGTGTATTTCTGCAAGTTTGAAATATTGGGACTACACAATTGTGTCTAGAATCTACTCCTACAATTAGTGAAAAATCGTGAGTCGTCTATGCCTTTTTAAGAAAACTGTTGCGTAGAACATCCACTGACCTAGTTAAGAGCTGTAAGAAGAGCCATTAACTGAAGAGAGACTCAACATGTGAATCAAATTGCAATCCTGCTCAAAAATATTTGAGCCAATTTTGGATTCTATAAGCAATTACTCTGTTGATTTAGAAAGTTTTGTAGTGCAGATACAGGCACATACACAGCCTCCCCCCCCCCCGCCGAAATATTTTGTATTCAAAAGTCACAGTTCGTGTTTTGTTGGTTATAAGAATTTAGTGGACATGAATACATGCCCAGTTCCTAATGTGCAGAACACAGAAATCCACTTTCCCAGTAATCAGGCATCATCTTCAATTTCTAAGAACCTTGTGGTACACAAAGGTGGTTGGGTGCGACAGGAAGAGCATCGTTAGAAGCAAACCGTCGGCGGTCCTACCTGCGCCGGCGTACACGTCGGGTGAGTCGTAGTAGTCGCCGGCCGAGTCGTCGTAGTCGTCGTAGCCCCCGTAGCGATGTGCCATGGGAAGGTACCTGCGCCAAGGCCATACATTTACATCAAACGCTTATTTTTAAACCCAATGTGGTTCGTGGTTCAACAATGTTTCAATGAATTGATTTACTTCGAAATGTTCGTTTAATTCGTAATTCAACCGCTATGGCACACGCACGACACAGTTCCCTCCTATTGTCTTACAAGTTATAAAATATTTGGTAATAAATAGTTTACTTCATAGAACTTACAGTTGCACACCATCCTCTTCCGAGCACAAAAGTTGCACCCTTTGCAACACGTGTTTTGGAATTCCCTCCCCCATATATAAACATTTCATGACTACCGTCCAGTCAACTTCATCGCAAGAATAGACGTCAATGAAGTCCCGAATCTACAAAATTACGCTTCCAAACATTTTCTAACGGCCGCATGTTTGTGGCTTGTTAACAACATTCACCGGTAATGCCAGGAAATCCGTTTCCAAGGGCGGTGTCTCAATTTTTATTTCGATTCCAGCACCTGTCATAAGTATAACTTAACTATAGACACTTATGATTGAATGATTAACATGGAGCAGTAATGGGCAGAAACACGAGAAAACTGAAGAATCCCGAGAAAACACGCTTCGAACTGTATTTCTCTACAATCCATTTTCCGGCGGAACGACAAAATAATGAGAACATCTTCACCACAAGTTTACCTCAAGCAACAACTTCGTGAAATGAATGGAGCGATTTTACAACTTGCCGAGAACGCTCGGCTTGGAGTCCAAGAGGAAGACGAAAAAAATTATTAAAAAATCTCGCGCGATTGAAGAGACCATCACTCCCATTTACGCGCTGCCTATTGAACGATCGCGGTCCTTGGGAGAAGGCGCGCGTGCACTCACCCGGTGGCGGCGCCGTACGAGTCGTAGGGCGCCGACTCGAAGAAGGTGGAGGGCGCGGCGCCCCCGGCCGCGGCCGCGTCGTCCTCGCAGGCGAACGCCGTCTCCTCCATGGCGGCACGCGCGCGCTCCAGGATGCTCAGCACCTTCGTCTTGGTGGGCGTGGGGCGCGGAAGCAGCGCCTGCGGCGGCGGCGGGGGCGGCGGCAGGGGCGGGCGGTGGGGCGGTGGCATAGCGGTTGCGCAGCTCACCAGCCGCGCGCTGCCGGGGCGGCGTCAGCAGCCGATCGAGCGGCGCGGAACGCGCGCAGGGGGGCAGGCGGCGGGCGCCGGCACCCCGCGCCGCGCTCCTTCAGCCGCCGCCGGCTCCGCGCGCCGCCCGCCGCGCCCGCCGCGCGCCCCCGCGCCGCCTCCCACGCGGCCGCCTCCGGCGCCGCGCACCGCGCCGCCAGATCCGCGACGCGCGTCCCAGCCGCCGGGGACCGTCTGGATCAGCAGCTCCATCTCGCGCATCTGCTCCTGGCGGATCTCGTCGTTGGAGTCCGGGATGAGGTACTTGCGCACTTCGGCGAGGGCGTAGGCGATGCGCGCGTGCGCCTCGGCCGGCGGCGCGAACGCCGCGATCTCCACGTGCAGGTCGTCGCTCAGGTGGGCGTACTTGGGGTCCATGGACAGGCGCAGCTCCTCCTCCTGCGAGAGAAGCCACGTCGCTGCAGGACAAGCTCAACAGCGCGGGCTTTGTGGCCTCAGCGCACTCCACTTCTCTAACGCGTAAAGAGGGGGCGTTATACACTAACACTTTACATGCTTAAACGAATTTGTTAGTGAAATTGTGTTTACGAAGAGCTGGTTAAAATTCGAAGTTCTTTCGAAGCACCAACTGAATGCTTATACTTTCTCAGTTAACACATTAATAACACTGCGTGTGCTGAAATGAGCGCATTTTTTTGCATTTAAATGCAGCAATAATGAAGAAAAGAACCCCGAGTTATGTTTTTTTAAATTATTTTAATAGATCTAAAAGTCAAGACGGAATTTTGTTATTTTATCCTCACAGAAACATTATCTCATAGATACCTTTCTTTACGTCTTAGATTTCCTACAATTCATGAACAGTATAGAAAAGTTAGTTCTTTCTCTTGATTCCACTATCCATTTTTCGAAGGGCAACATTCATTACATTTGAATCATTTCTTTCCTTAAAAAATATTCAAACCTTGTACTTGACAAGTTTTAGTTCTACGCATAAGGAAATTGAAATATATAATATTTACTTTTGGGTTCAATTTAGCAGAAAGACGTATTACGAACTGTAAGGAGAAAAGTACTCCTTCATCGCCGCGCGGGTAGCGGAGTCTCGGACCAACACCTTGTCACAGCACATTCATCACAGACGGGTTACTGTACAAATACAAATACTTATTTCTAAAATTATTTCCGTCTGAATGTCACGTAGAGGTTAATTTGCTTCCATATCGAGTACAAAATAAAAGATGTGTTATTTATTTATAAATAAAGATTTGCAACACTCGTGCCGTAATTTCTTTATCATGGCATGATGGCTATTTTATTGATAGCTACTGCACATTCACGGTGTGCAAAGGTTCGCGTAGATTGCTTTGTTCAATATAACACACTGTAGCACTTACCTTCTGCTTGTCTTTCATGGACCCTCGTCCTAGCACAGCCATCTTTGTCATCGTGTCTTCTTGAAGACGCTTCATGGAATTACCCTTAGGTCCTAGAAGTTTGCCCACAAAATTAAACTGAAACGAAAAAAATATATAGTTTCAAAACGCTATTCACACAAACCGTGATTGATATCTAAATTTAGACTGACCTCTAGACGTTTTATAAACATTTAATATCAGTAAATTGTTTTTATCTACATTATTGAACATTAGATCACGAGACTGAATTCAACTTCGAAACTTCACACTATCAACTACAATTCACCAAACTGAAAGGCAGTGGAACTGTTCCGAGTTCACCAGCGTAAGCTCAACTCAGAAACCGCTTAACACAGTCGTTTGCTGTTTCGCACTGCCCGTTCACGTTCTTCACAAACGTTTCGTCGCGGTCATTGCGTTCTTTACACTATCCTTGAGGTTCTATTTAGGAATGCCATAATTACACAAATCAATAGTTAAACCAATTAACACTAGGAGATATTACAAATAAAATACAATTCTTGTAATCTAGCTGCGAAGAGGCTGAGGAATTTTCTCTACAGTAAGTTCGATGAGCATGACCTTCAGCAAACACTTCAGGTTATGTATCTATATAAAATAATGATTAGAAGAAAGTAATCCCCACTACTATTTTCTGTTCCCAATACTGTAATATTGGGATGAAAGCCAAAATAATTACTAACAAACCACAATCGTCGTCCGTCTATGCTACGCTCAATGATCAATTGCCTTTCATATTTTAAATTTAATTAAATAATATATAATTATTTGGCACTTTCGGTACGATGCATTTAGAACTGTTGCGAAGTATCAGAAGAACCTTCACTTGAATCTTGTCAACGCCGCTTCCCTTTGATTTATGACCGTACTGCAAGACAACACTCGGAAACAGTAATGTTGGTACAAAGTATTCCCGACAGCGGTCAGCCCAAACATTTTAGGAAAAATTGACGTGTACAATATAGTGGTTTTTATGTCCATTTCAAAAACCAAGTAAATCAATTCAAATCCCAGCAGCAGAAGCGCGTCGGGCACTCCACTCACCTTGGGGTGCTCCTTGATGGGCACAAGCACCTTGACGGCCACGCGGATGGGCTTCTCGCGGTAGATGTCCACGTACTTGCTGTCGCGTGCCGTGGGCTTCCCGCCGCTCTGGATGCGCGCCACCTCCTTCGTCACCTCTGCAACGCACGAAAAAGCTTCGGACTTCGCTCAAACATTCACACTTTGATCTTAACGGCAATGTGTTTAAAGAGGGGGTTGGATTAAGTCGGATAAGCTAGGGCGTTGATTCATTCATTTATGGAGACAGGCGCGACCTGAACTCTCCGCAACCCGGTGCACAGTCTAGAAGCACATTTTCACTGATTGCAAGTATTCTGCCCCTGCGGTTGTGAAATATTGGCCGGAGGTATTACTTGGATCCCAGCCAAGTAAATCAAATTTCTCCAAGGTAGGGTCTTGGCGAACGCGTACCCAAATTTGATGAAGATCGTTTTGACAAAAGAATGCTTGACGAACATGCCCAAACCAAGACAGAACAAATCCATACTTGCAAGAAAGTCTTTCGTCAATTAGAATTTTCACTCAACATAGAGTAAAACGTGATCAACAACCACGTGGTCAGTGGCGTGTTATGCGTAACACACTGTAATAGCGTAACATCGCCGGGTCCACTAGTTAAAAATAAAAAGCAGCTACCGACATTTCTTCGTAATAGCTGCTTATGTGCAAAACGTTCAAAATTAAAATGTTTGTGTATGGAGCATATGCTTCAGAAGTCCTCAATATTTGTAAAATGTGTAGGAAAAGTTATTGTACTATTGATTTAAGTAGAAACAAATCGCATCGCGCAAACTCCTCCCAGGAAACAACTCAATCCGCCCAAGGGCGGAAATCCGCAAAATGCAATGTTTTCTCACAAGTCGACGGCCCCTTTCCGCCCAATTTGACATCCCAGCCTCCGGGGGGTATTTTCACACAAGAGGTTTAAGCACAGTAGCCACAACACGCGCACGCTTCCTTTAGCCCCACCCGTTTACCAACATCAGTAGAATTAAGAATAAATAAGAGCAACGAGCCTTGTTGTTAAAATCTCATAACCAGAAATGGTCGCTCCTGTGTGATAATAAATATTTTACATCGAGAAACTAGCTACAGATTTGACATATTGGTGTCATCAAAATACCTCTCACCCTATTTCTCTCTAATCCAGCACAACTACTGTACGTTACGCTGGGCTTAAACTCACCGGTAACAATTTTGCTTTATCTTTACGAACAAGAGAAAAAGGCCTTGTAATACTGTGCCATAAAACTGCGAAATTTAGGCGGAAAATCTTACTACAGGGCCGTGGTAACGAAAAAACTCTAGGATAAATCTAGAAAAAAGTCCTATAACGCACCCCGAATCCAGGTTTTGTGGATCCTTGACACCGAAAATTCCAATTACGGCATAACACGTCCGTCTGTCCATCCATGAACAACTCTACCGGCCAAGCATATTTTCTTCAAATTGATATTCTCTAATCGATCTTTCTGATGCCGCGGCCGCTTGAATTTAAAAACGATGTTTAATTTTGAGTGATACTTCACATTAAACCTATGGGACATTTTCCAAATTTTCAAAAAAATGGCTCCATCGTTTTTGATTAAATTTTGTTGAATAGCGTGAAGGAAATTTAAGAGGACAGTTTAAGTCTCATGTTCGTCTTACTCGTCGTCATACTCTAAGAGATTTTTTTTTTCTTAATGAAATTTGTTCCTTAAAAATACATTTTGAAATAAGGTTATGTACAATTTTTCGTAAATTTCGGTATGCTTTTCGCGTAATTTTGCATGAAAGTACGGCCGAGAATGTACGTGCTGTTTTAGCACCACTAGTTTGATTCTGCTAAGCAAGTTCATAACTAAACGTTCACTCCAAGCTTAGACACGAACAGTTACATGAAAAAGGGTAGATGATACACTTTAAAGAATGAGAAATACTTCATTACCAAGTTAGGATTAATTATTACACATAGAATAAATTAAGTAAAAGCTATTCACTTCACCTCGGAAAAGTATTTTTATAATTCAGTGTGTCATCGCTGATGTGTTTTGGGGATTTGACGGCACCCATTTCTGGAAGAATTCCACGATATTCTACCAAAATCCAACCAAAGCAAGGCCAATCTATACGTCTTCTAGGAAGAAAGTAAATGAGCTATGCATAATCTCTGTAGCTTCCCAAAACACAGCCCCAGACGCGTTTTACGTACTTAACCCCCACCCAATTACATTTGCATGCAAAATTCTCTTCCAATGTTGTGGAAGGCTACGGCGGAAAAATGTTCCCCCCAGAAACCGACGTGACGAATGCCACCTTACATGCTCGGAATTGAGGGCTGGAAGAGGACGAACTCTGGGTTGAAAACGAACGGATCAAGTCATTAACTTTATTAGATCACTATAATATGAAGCATATTCCAGGTAGCAACACCTTTGAGAACACCTTTTGGACGCGGTGCTTACCAACTGTGGCGAAAGGTAGACCTTGATGCATACGACAACTCGCTTTTGCGCCTCTCCGCACGCACGAACTCCAATGTTACGTTAAAGCAGGAATTCTTTACTTTTTCATTAATCGCACCCTTTTCTACGAATTTACTTCATAGCTCCTTTACATTTTTCTCACGAATATGCAGCATACATAATCATAAAAGAAATAATCATACCCAAGTGTCTTACAGAAAATTGCACGCTAATATTTTTGTAATTATCACGATTTGCAATAATCGAAGATGATTTCTATTCCGAGTTTCCAATATTCATATTAGTGCAATTGTTCAAAACGATAAAGTATTTTTTAGAGCTGGGCGTAACAGGTCTCCTGTGGGAAATGCATTTTCTAGCGATGAAGAGTAACTTCTAATTAGGGGGCGGATTTTGATCTAAAACATCTCCAAAAATTATCAAAATGTTTAAAATGTGTTAAAAATGTCCTAAAAGCAAAGACAAATTACAATAAAAAATTGATCAAAACCAGTTCAGATGAACAACTCAAGCTTCTGGATGTACTCGTACATAATTTACTGTTATCTAAGCCTCTTGAGCGTTCACGTGAACTGAGCTTGCAAAATTTTGGTTGGGACTGTTCTTCACGAGCAAATCGCAGTCATTAGTTATCAGAAAATCAGCAGACTCGACTATGCCGCTAATAGGTGTCACCGGAACCCGATATTACACGCAACGGCCGATATTACAATTTCTGGCCGAAGAAATCTAATAGGCTACCAGCAATTCTGCGGACATTTTATTTAATCGTAAATCATGCATTTGAAGCAAGTATCATTACAATGTTATTAAAATCTACGAAATCGGCTAAAAATGTTTTAAAAATAACTGAAAAGATAATTACCTAGTAGTCGAAATCAACGAAAAATGCAAGTCATAAAAATGGGATATTTTCTTTTGTCATAACAAAATTGATATCTATACTAAAAGACATTGTTCTAATGAGAAAAAAGGAAAATGACATTTCATTAAAATTCGCCCCTAGTTACAATTTACCCGAATTTTCTAAACAACATGAACTATGGATACGAAAGAATATATGCAAATTTTTAATCAATGGGATCTTTATCTTGACTATATTGTTTAATAATAAGTTAATATCCCCCTTTTGACTCCCATCATTTACCCCTCTCCAAAAGTTCATCGTCCCCAAAGGGTCGATTCCCATCTCGTTGGGAAACCCTGCGTTAAGAGTCGACAGAAAAATAAAGTAACATATTTATTTAAACTGCAATTGTGTATTGCCCATTGGCAGTTATTTACATAAATAGGGTATATAAAAGTGTAATAATAATAGTGGCGAGTTTTCATTTTCATAAACTGGGATAAGATATTTATTTTCCTTTCTGCTGCGAACATATCAATAAACTCCTATCCAGGAATCTCTTCTCGTCTAGAATATTTTTTTTTTTACTAAGACTCTTGAGCCATTTTCTCACTCCGATTTTTTTTGAATTTCGAAAAACATTCATATACTGGCTGCTGAGTTTTGTTTTCAAATACTTTTCTTGATATCTTCAATCTCCTGTTTTTTGCATTGTAGTATGCTACATCCGGATTTTTCCCCCAGAACTTTTCATTTCATTTGTACGCGCACCATACTTCCAACCCTCTCT